TCCCCCATCTTGAATCCAAACCTTCATTCTTCCAGCTCAAAGCCTGTCTTCCCAATGGATCCTAAACTTGATCTGCTTTCAATTAACAGGAAATTTATGTGCATCCCCTTTCCTAAGTCATACCCAAGACAGAACTCTTTATTCCCAACTGTCTTCCAAACATGCTCCTTCTCCAGTTTCCACAAACTTGGTAAATGGTTCCAAATTAGGGATCATCCTTAACTCCTTCCCATCCACATCCATTTCCCCAAGTCCTGTTGGCTCTACCTCCAAAATATACCCTGAATACATTAACTTTTCTCCATCTCCACTGCTATCTTCCTAGTCAAGCCACCTTCAACTCTAGTCTGTAGCATTGCAACAGCATTTTTTTTTCAGAGATGGGGCCTTGCTGTGTTGTCTAGGCTGGCCTCGAACTCCTAGGCTCAAGTGATCCTCCTGCCTCAGCCTCCCAAGTAGCTGGGACTTCAGTTGTTCCTCCCTATGGCTGGCTTTGCAACAACCTTTTGACTTGTCTCTGCTTCCACTCTTGTCTGCTTATCACCCATTCTCACCCAGCAGCCAGAGGCATCTTTTTGAAAGTAAATCAGGTCTTGTGTTACCATGATTAAGACCCTCCAAGGACTTGCCACTGCACTTAGAGCAAAACCCAAAATCCGTATCAAAATCCCCGCTGACTGGGTTGATGCGTCCTGGGAGACTCTCGCTTTGATCCGACCCATCTCCTGACATGTGCACTAAGGTCTGCCACACTGACCTCCTTTTTGTCACCTGGGAGTGTCAAGCTTGCTTCTACCTCTGTGCCTCTGCAAACATTCGTCTGCCTGAAACGCTCTGCCACAAATCTCCACCTGCCTGAACCCTTCTTGTCACTGCAGTCTCAGCTTGAATGTTGCCTCCTTGGAGAGGCTTCTCCTGACCACTAGTGTAAAATAGCCTGAGTCACTGTCTTACGATGCTGTATTTTCTTCACAGCACATCATGGTACTTGGTCAGTGTGCTTTAATTATATATGTTGGTCTCATCCACCAGGATATAAGCCTCCCAAGAGCAGGGATGAGTCTATCTTGTTCACTGAATTATCTCCACTAAAGACAGCGTATACTTGGCACTGGGTAAATACTTGTTCAATGGCTGAATCATGTCTTTCTCTCATCCCTTGTTAACAACTGACACAGCAGGAAAACTCCAAGATATTCATCCTTAGAGTCATGTTTCCCAACTCAAAAGATAAACGTCACTTCCTCCTAACTACTGGATATCTAGTCCATCTGAGGACATTAAATTGAAGATTATTGGAAATCCTTCAGAAACCACGGACTTCAGAGGTGGGCAACTTCTGCCTGAGATGTTGGAATAAGATAAATTTTCTGATTTTTCAACACTCTTTCTTATCCCTTTATTCTATTACTAATCTTGTTCTATTATTCTACTTTGACACCTTCTGAGACACTAATATGATCTCCCTTACCGTCATCCTATTATTTCTGACTCCCTATGGTTTCCTTCTACCACGTAAGGAAAAACAAAGCTCTTGTATGTTTTCCCAGACCCAGCTACTGCTCTGAATTTAACTGATTGCTGGATCCATGGTCCCCCACCTTACCTTGCAGATAAAAATAGCTAGTCAAAGTGAAATTTTCCCTGTAGCAAATACTTCCTGTTGACTTATACTTGTTGTAAGTAGAACAATTTCTGACTAGGGAAGAGAACACTGCATCCCCCTGGCTTTCATAAATAGACCCAGCCAGAGTCTGGTTATGTTTTATTGACTGGTTTCCGTAATCTAGGCCCCTGCTTTGGAGACCTGTTACAAAGACTAATAGTCCTTCTGTTTTTGATAACTGCCTGTGTTACAGTTGTCTGATGTACCCTGTCCTGAGTCTTAAATGCTGCAGAGCTGTTGTCATGTCAGATGGTTCAAAGACTCATCTCACAGCAAAAGGAGAAAGAAAGAAGGATTAACCCTAGTTTAACTACAGACCACCATTCAGTAAATGAATTTCTGATCCTATGCAGCAAATGTGGGCCATAGTGAAGATTTGGATATGAAGGATTAATGCCCAGGGGCGTGACTTCATATGCCTTTCACTCTAAGGGTGGACTGAAAAAGCACAAAAAACAGTCGCTGACACCCAGGAAGGGATCTGAGGCTCCCATCGAGACCTTAGTATTATCAGAAACCGACTGAGGCTCACTGTGGTGCTGTGTTGTCCTTTGGTCAGACAAACACAATCTCAGAACATCCACTACAGACAGGTCACTGGGCAGCCCAGAAAAATGCCAAACATCCCTTCTGTACTAAATGAGTGACAGCTACTTGTTTAGCAATTACAGCTTTGTGCTTGCTTTAGTTTGCCCTCTCCAGAGAGATTTGTTGAGATTCCCATTTGTGGAATTTCCCCTATTTACTGAAAATGACCAATCTAAAGCAAATCTCCATTGCCTTAAACCTTCCCCCAACGAAGGGCCAAATCCTATAGTA